CCGTGCCGAGGGCTGTGCTGTGCTGTGCCGTGCTGAATTGCGATGTGCCATGCCACGAGTGTGCTCTATAGCGTTGTGGATCGAGTCTTCCTTTGCATCCGAGTCCTGACCGAACTGATCTGGATCTTAATCTCGAGCTGCCTAAGCACATAACTAGTAGCTGCCCCAGAGTTGATTGACAAGGGAACATGCCAGGAGGACGCGCCGCAGAACGTCCCAAGGGACGCGCCAGGCGACGTGCCAGGGGACGTGCCATGGGGACGCACCGCGGGACGTGCCAAGGGGACGCGCTACGGAATGTGCCAATGGACGTGCCACGGGACGTGCCAAGAGACGCACCAAGCGAGGTGTCAGGGGACGTGCCACGGGGACGCACCGCGGGACGTGCCAAGGGGACGCGCTACGGAACGTGCCAATGGACGTGCCACGGGACGTGCCAGGGGACGCGCCGCGCGACGTGCCAGGGGGACTCGCCACAGGACGCGCCACGGAACGTGCCAAAGAACGTGCCAAGTTGCAATGCTGAGTGAGTGTATCGATCTTGATGTACCGTGCCGCGGGCTGTGCTGTGCTGCGCCGTGCTGAACTGCGATGTGCCACGTGACGATTGTGCTCTATAGCGTTGTGGATCGAGTCCTCCTTTGCATCCGAGTCCTAACCGAACTGATCTGGATCTTAAGCTGGAGCTGCCTGAGCACATAGTAGCTGCCCCAGAGCTAATTCACGGGGGGCATGCTAGGAAGACGCGCCGCCGAAAGTTCCAAGGGACGCGCCAGGCGACGTGCCAGGGGACGTGCCATGGGGACGCACCGCGGGACGTGCCAAGGGGACGCGCTACGGAACGTGCCAATGCATTATGGACGTGCCACGGGACGTGCCAGGGGACGCGCCGCGCGAAGTGCCAGGGGGACTCGCCACAGGACGCGCCACGGAACGTGCCAAAGAACGTGCCAAGTTGCAATGCTGAGTGAGTGTACCGATCTTGATGTAATGTGCCGAGGGCTGTGCTGTGCTGCGCCGTGCTGAACTGCGATGTGCCATGCCGCGATTGTGCTCTACAGCGTTGTGGATCGAGTCCTCCGTTGCATCCGAGTCCTGACCGAACTGATCTGGATCTTCAGCTCGAGCTGCCTGAGCACATAGTCCACGCAGTAGCTGCGGCAGAGCTACTTGACAAGGAAACATGCCAGGAAGACGCGCCGCGGAACGTTCCAAGGGACGCGCCAGGCGACGTGCCAGGGGACGTGCCACGGGGACGCACCGCGAGACGTGCCAAGGGGACGCGCTACAGAACGTGCTGGGGACAAGCGTCGTGTTGGTGGCCTGGACACGTAAAAACACGGTGCCAGCTCGGGACAACCATGAGAGATACCCCCTGGGTGGCCTGGACACGTAAAACACGTGGTTCCAGCTCGGGACAATCATGTTAGAGATCTCCCTGGGTGGCCTGAGCATGAAAAAACACGTGGTTCCAGCTCGGGACAGCCATGTTAGATACCCCTCCGCGTGACTTGGATACGCTGAATTCGCGCTCCCGCTCGAGACATCCTCACAACGTCTTCCCTGGAGAGGCCCCCAAAGCGCACCCCCCTGTTCAAGCAAGAAGCCATCACTTTTCCTCATAATTCGGCGTTGGGCCCGACGCCATGTTAGATACCCCAACTCTGCAAAACCAGCGTTTCGCTTGAGACATCCTCAACAAATTCTGAAAAGCAAGCGCTTCGCTCGAGACATCCCCCAACTCTGCAAAACCAGCGTTTCGCTCGAGACATCCTCAACAAATTATGAAAAACAAGCGTTTCGCTCGAGACATCCTGTCAAAATCCCAAGAAATCTAAATTCCTGCGCGCGGGACGCGGCACGCGCGAGACCTCCTCAGAATTCCTGCGCGAGGGGCGCTTTTCTGTGTCGCGGTCGGCTCTGCAAAACCAGCGTTTCGCTCGACACATCCTCAACAAATTCTGAAACCAAGCGTTTCGCTCGAGACATCCCCAACTCTGCAAAACCAGCGTTTCGCTCGAGAAATCCTCAACACATTCTGAAAAACAAGCGTTTCGCTCGAGACATCCTCAAAAATAATTCCGCCGGCCCTACTCCCGCACGTAATTTATCGCAGAATAATTTCGCCGGCCCAAGTCGCAGGGGGGCCGGGGGGTTAACCTACTAAAAGAGAACCCTGGGCCCGCGCCCTTTCCGGGAAAATGACGAGGCCGAGCCTGCATTTTGACGAGGCCTCCCGCTGCAGACATCCCACGAAGCTCCTCCTCGTCACAGTCCGAGGCGCGGTCGTCAAACATGATCGACCCACGAACCCGGAAAGGAATATAGCACTGTACCACATGGCAGCGTTTTCAAAGACACATGATTGGGTGACGGGCAAATGCAATGCTGAGTGTATCGATCCTGATGTACCCTGCAGAGGGCTGTGCTGTGCTGCACCGTGCTGCATTGCGATGTGCCATGCCGCGATTGTGCTCTATAGCCTCGACGCATCCGAGTCCTGACCGAACTGATCTGGATCTTAAGCTCGAGCTGCCTGAACACATAGTAGCTGCCCAAGAGCTAATGGACAGGGGAGCATGTCAGGAGGACGCGCCGCGAAACGTCCCGAGGGATGGCGCCAGGCGGCGTGCCAGGGGACGTGCCATGGGGTCGCACCGCGGGACGTGCCAAGGGGACGCGCTACGGAACGTGCCAATGGATGTGCCACGGGATGTGCCAGGGGACGCGCCACGCGACGTGCCAGGGGGACTCGCCAAGGGACGCCCCACGGAACGTGCCAAGGAACGTGCCAAAATGCAATGCTGAGTGTATCGATCTTGATGTACCGTGCCGAAATATGTGCTGTGCTGCACCGTGCTGAATTGCGATGTGCAATGCCGCGATTGTGCTCTATAGCGTCGTGGATCGAGTCCTCCTTTGCATCCGAGTCCTGACCGAACTGATCTGGATCTTAAGCTCGAGCTGCCTAAACACATAGTAGCTGCCCCAGAGCTAATCGACAACGGGACATGCCAGGAGGACGCGACGCGGAACGTCTCAAGGGACCCGCCAAGCGACGTGCCAAGGGACGTGCCATGGGGACGCACCGCGGGACGTGCCAAGGGGACGCGCTACGGAACGTGCTGGGGACAAGCGTTTCGCTCGAGACATCCTGCCAACATCCTCAGAATTCCTGCGCGCGGGACGCGGCACGCGCGAGACATCCTCGGAATTCTTGCGAGCGGGACGTGAAAACAAGCATTTCGCCTGAGACATCCTCTGAATTCTGGACCCCACGAGGCCCCCCACGAGGCCCCCCAATTTTGCAAAACCAGCGTTTCGCTCGAAACGTCTTCAACAAAGTATGAAAGACAAGCATTTCGCTCGAGACATCCTGCCGAAATTCAAGGAAATCCTCGCAAAACAAACGAATTAATCGAGACATCCTCGAAATTCCTGCGCGCGGGACGCGGCACGCGCGAAACATCATCGGAATTCCTGCGCGCGGGGCGCTTTTCCGCGTCGCGGTCGGCTCTGCAAAACCAGCGTTTCGCTCGAGACATCCTCAACAAATTCTGAAAACAAGCGTTTCGCTCGAGACATCCCCAACTCTGCAAAACCAGCGTTTCGCTCGAGACATCCTCAACAAATTCTGAAAAACAAGCGTTTCGCTAGGGACATCCTCAATTTTTAATTCGCCGGCCCTACGCGACCTCGTTATTTATCGCAAAAGAAATTCGCCGGCCCTACAGCCGTCAAAACCGGGGGGAAACAAAACTAAAAGAGAACCCTGGGCCTTTGCCCTTTCCGGGAAAAACGATGACGAACCCGAGTCCTGGCAAACCCGGGTCTTACGCTCCCCCGATCTGAGGCCTTAGGATGGCTCCAAGAAGAAACCAAACGCAAGGGAGGCGCAGGCGAACGTCCCGCCGCCTCCCCGGCACGTCTGGTGCTCAGACGACACCAAAGTCTGTTCAGTGATGAAGCACGAGAAAGGAAGAGGAAGACGCGGGCAAGAAAAAACACGAACAGAGGAAACGACTCAATATTACAGACAAGAATGCATGACTCAAATTCGCCGGGCCAACGGGCCAGAGGCGTGCTAAAATCTCTGAATGTTTCTACTAGTTCGCACGGCCCAAGAGGCTCCAAGATCGCTCCAAGACGCCCCAAAAAGCCAAGGGGGCCCCAAAATGGTCCAGAGGGGAACCCGAACAGACATTTCGAGCTCTCGGCCCCAAGACGCGCCCAGGAAGCCCCAAGAGGCCCCCAAGAGGCCACAAAAGGCTCCCAATAGACCCCCAAAGAAGCTCCCAAGACTCCCAACAAGCCCCCAGGAAGCCCCAAGAGGCCCCCAAGAAGCCCCCAAGAGGCTCCCCAGAGGCCTCAAAACTGCTCCCCAGAGGCTCCCTCCAAAAAGACCCCCAAGAAGCATCCATGAGGCTTTGACCCAGAACCCATGTGCGTCTCGAAACTCTGCTGGAGCTTTCTTGAGCCACCTTAGCGCTCTCTGAGGCAGTCTTTCGGCTCTGTTCGACATTCGACAGGGTGCGAGCCACATCTCCAAAGATCTCCTCGAAGACCGTCCTGCCCGCCCTACCGTTCCCCCTGGGCACGAGCACACCACCACGAAGCCACAGTGATGCGAAATGGGCTGGCGGAATGAGCGAAGCGAGTAAATAACGCACCTGATGCTGACACTGATTTTTAGCCGCAGAACATGCTACAAGTGAGCATTAACATGCGAGAGAGAAGCGCTATGACGAGCGCGACTATCTGAAGAGCTCGGTGGGAAAGATGACGCAACATAGTAACCATGACACGTAAGTACAACATTTCAGGCAACAGTTACACAACATCAGACGTCTCGATTATGAGATGCACCAAAGCTGCTTTCAGACCCAAGTCAATGCACGTGCGTAGATGTATTCTAATACATGCGCATATCTGCACAAAAGTAGGCGAAGAAACAATTCAACAAGCAAGCGAGCCGACAGCGAAACATATAACAGGCGCACCGCATCGAAGTGGCCGTTCCTTGCGACGGGAACCAGAGAGGATCGAGGACTCGACGCTGATTGGACAGACGGGTGCCACAACACAGTGGGAGCAACATGCACTCCGTGAGTCCTGCTTTCGACGTGTGGCAGCCCTTCCGAAAGGTAGACCCCCCCTCCCCCTGCTCTTCATGGAGACCCTCCCCCCGTCCCTTCAACCTCCTGATATGCATACCTCTACTCTTTCTCATCCTCATTCGTCTGCCCATTCCCCCCTCCAGGCCATTCATGGCCCCTCGTGTGCGGCACTGCTTCCATGCGCCGTCGTCGTCATCGTTGTCATCATCATCATCATCACCACCATCACCATCATCATCGTCATCATATCAACAACAGCAGCAGCATCATCAGCATCAGCATCAATACCATCATCTCCACCACCATCATCATCACTACTGTCACATGTACACAGAGTGAGGTGGGAGTAGTTGTGACCGAGCAGGGATTTATTAGTGAGGGCACCACGTTCCTGAATGGGCATCTTTACATCGGCCCCGCACTGACAATCCGCTGAAAGAATCCCGATGTCCATAAAGGAAACCATAAAGGCTTCCCTACCTTGTTCCACACGTTCTTCGTGCAGCTTCTCCCCGTTAGCTCAGTCCGCCGAGGTGGCATTTATGATTAAGCACGTCGAAGCAAGGTCTGTGTTTCGCCTTTGGACATCTTCAGACGCTGCGCCTGCGCTGGGTAGCGTCAGCGCAACGGGAAAAAAGGACGAGGCGGAGTTGAAGGAGAGGAGGAAGACGAGGACAAAGAAAAGGAGGAGGAGGACGTCGAAGAGGACGAGAGGAATTCTATGACCACATTTTGGCCTCGCGCGCGCCCCACAAGAGCGAGAGCAGAGCGGCAGCCACCGACACGACGGCGACGACGACCAGCGCCGGCGAGGACGGACGGAGGACGCCGGACGAAGCAGCGCAGCGACGGCGGACGGCGACGGCGACGGCGGCGGCGAGGACCGGGCCAGCTGCCGCGCCGCGAGCCCGCTCGCCCCTCCTGTGAAGTCGGGCGTGTCCCTCTACAGGAGGGATTTACAAAAATAGTCACCGAATAGTATGGGCTCGATTCTAAAAATATGTTTGAATGTTGTTTTTGGCTATCTTTTGACTATTGCTTCTTTTTCCTCCAAAACCCGCCTGCAGGGGGACATGCCTCGGGAGCGGCCAAGAGGGGGGTGTCCAAGAGGGGGGGGTGCAAATCATGACGCGCGGCACGTGCGCGACCCAGCGGGGGGGGCCAGGGACGTAATGAAATAAGAGGAGGCGCCAGGATATCTGGGGACATATCGTGGCCCCCGCCACGATATCCACCCCCCCCCCCTAGTCTTCACCCCCCTCTTTTCCGCCCCCGAATGCCCGCCCGCCCCTCCTGGCGGCCCACGAGATCGGCGTGTCGCCGTGCCTGTCCAGGGCGTCCACCTGCCGGGCGGCGGGCGCGGGGTCTGCGGCGCCGCGCCGCGCCCTGCCCGGCCCGCCCCTCGCCGCCACGGTCGCCAGCTCTGCTCCGCTGGCCCCCCCCGCCTCCACCTCCACACCCTCCTCCTCCACCCCCACCCCAACCTCCTCCTCCTCCTCCTCCTCCTCCTCCTCCTCCTCCTCCTCCTCCTCCTCCTCCTCACTCACTCTAAGTTCTCCTGTCCTCCTCCTCCTCCTCCTCCTCCTCCTCCTCCTCCTCCTCCTCCTCCTCCTCCCGAATCCCCTGTCCCGCCGGTGCAGTCATCGTGCTAGCACCAGCATCGCTGAATAAAGATCGAAGAGGCTCTGCTGGCAACGGCGAGCGTCGGCCACGAAGAGGTTCTCCGACTTGGGTCTGGGGAGCGGCCCGAAGATCAGAGCACCTCCTGAGCCCCGAAGTGGTCCGTATTTCAGCGTCTTTGCTGTACTCCTCCGCCATCTGCATTATTACCTTGTAGATAGCCCCTCCCCGTCGCGCCAACAGACGTCCGCAAGGACGGGCTCGCCGGAGACTGCCCCCTCGCTCTGCTTTCTCGAAGTTTCGGCTGTCTGCTACAGGCGCACGGCCAGAGGGGGGTCGTTCCCACAGCGTGGCTCTCGCCGCGCCTCGCGCAGGGAGGAAAAGGTAAGCCTGCGGGGACTGGAGGGGGAAGACCCTCGGGGCGTGAGGATGTGCTGCAGCATCGCCGACACATACATCTTGGGTGTAATCTGGTCCTCCTCCTACTCCTTCTACTACTTCTCCTCCTCTTCCTCTTCTTCCTCCTCCTCTTCCTCTTTTTCCTCCTCCTCCTCCTCCTCCTCCTCCTCCTCCTCCTCCTCCTCCTCCACCTCCTCCTCCTCCCCTCCTCCTCCTCCTCCTCCTCCTCCTCCTCCCCTCCTCCTCCTCCTCCTCCTCCTCCTCCCTCCTCCTCCTCCTCCTCCTCCTCCTCCTCCTCCTCCTCCTCCTCCTCCTCCTCCTCCACCTCCCTCCTCCTCCTCCTCCTCCTCCTCCTCCTCCTCCTCCTCCTCCTCCTCCTCCTCCTCCTCCGTCTCCTCCGTGGCCATTTTGGCTCAAGCCCGTCCCCCGCTTTCCGCAGCCCTTTGGCCGATGGGCCGTGCCTCGGTGGCGGCAGCGGCTGCAGCAGCAGGCACGACTCGAGGATGGCGGCGGAAGTGGCGGCCCTGCGCGGCGTGGCGGGCTCGCGCGCGTCGGCCGACGGCCTCGTGTCTGGGCTCAGCCGCGAGCTGGCCGAGGCGATGCTGCGGTGCCGAGGCCCTGGGGGCGATGCTGGCGGCGCGCGCGGGCCCTGACTCGGCGGTGGGGGGCAGAGGTGGGGCGTCGCGAGGCGGTGGCTCGTCCTGCCTTGATCGCTCGGCTCCAAGGCTGCCGCGTGCCTCACGGCGCCCGCCTGCGCTCCGTTCGCCGGAGTGCCCGCCCGCCTCGGCGCCGGTGGCGCACGAGCGGCGGGCGCAACGCGGGGAGCGGCTCGGCTCGGAGGTCGCCGTCGCGCAGCCGCCCCTTCGAGCGGGCGCGCCCCGCCGTGCTGTGCAGGCTCGGGCCGCCGCGAGGCCCTGCCCTCGCAGGCGGCGCACGGCTGGCTCTGCACCCGCGGCGCGACGCTCTGCGGGGCCGTCCGCGGAGCGCTGCACAGCCCGGGCTCTGCGCCTGGCCCCCCCCTCTTGCTCCGTGGAGACGGTCAAGACGATGCCATGGCCGACCATGCTGCCGCGCGGCGGGCTGTGGTTCATCGTGGTGGCCGCGTGCCAGTTGACGAAGCTCGCGAAGCTGGTGATTATGCTCGGGCGGGCAGCGCGGGTCTGCCTAAGCTTGCCCAGGTCGCCGCGCATCCCGAAGGTGTGGCTGGCTCTTTCCATCCTCATAGGCGTCGTGATGCGGCTGGAGGCGCTGCTCAAGACGATTGCGACGACGTCCATCTTCATCGGGGTGTGGACGAACTTCCTCTCGGTGTTCGTGCACAAGGCGTGCATGTTCCAGGAGCACGCCCTGGGCTCGGTCGAGGTGCTGCATGGTGGGGGGGCCCGTCAAGCCATTGCTGGCACTTGGCTAGGGCTGGGTGCTGGTGTCGACCGTGGAGCCGCTGTACTCATCGTGACTCCGACTCCGCCGAGGTGCCCGTGGTGCTTTCTGGCTTCCCGGGGCTGCGGCTCTCGGGACGCCACCGGCCCTGTCGAGGGGGTGCCGTTCTTCTTCCCTGCAGGTAGCTCGCGGGGCGCAGGCTGGGACATCGAGACTGGCAGCAATGCTCGTTTCGGCGGTGGTCCTCACCGTCGAGGCAAGCGCGCACCTCGCTGAGCTTGGCTTCCTCCACGGCCTCCTGGGCACGTCTGGGGGGTCCAGGGCTGAACGGGTCCGCCCCTGGCCCCTCGCTGACCAAACTGTCATCCCTCTGTCGCTGATGTTGCAAACGTGATCCTCCTCCTCAACCTCCTCCTCCTCCTCCTCGTCCTCCTGCTCCTCCTCCTCCTCCTCCTCCTCCTCCTCCTCCTCCTCCTCCTCCTCGCACTCCCACTCCCGCTCCCCCTCCTACATTCCTTTATTCCCCTTGCATATAAATAGTTCCACCCTGTCGCATCCCGAGGCCTGTCGGGAAGGGCGGGTCAGGCGCTTCGCCTCACGTCCTTACCATTTATTGTCCTCAAGCTTAAGTTTGTAACATGTGCACAGATGGAGGGGGGGTGGTTTTCAAAATGTGGTTCTCGCCTTAGCTCCGCGCACACTGCAAACTTTGCAAGGGCTTCACGGATGGAGGGCGGGGCGTTCCCAAAATGCTGCAAACGCCTTAGCGCCGCGCCCATTCGTCTTAAACATGTGCAAGAGCTTCACGGATTGAGGGCGGGCGGTTTTCAAACTGTGGTTATCGCAATGGTGCCGCGCACATTCGTCTGAAACATTGGCAAGAGCTTCACGGATTGAGGGCGGGCAGTTTTCAAAAGTTGGCTCTCGCTTTAGCGCCGCAGCAATTTGTCTTACACGTGCGCAAGAGCTTCACGGATTGAGGGCGGTTCCGCTTCAAAATGTGGCTCTCGCCTCAGCGCCGCGCACATTCGTTGTAAACGTTTGCAGGTTGAGCGCGCCCGTTGTGTTACAAGAGGGGGGATCGGGTTTTGAGTTACCGATAATTCCATGTTCGAGCTTCCATATAATTTCCATATAACTTCCCTATAATTCCCTAATTCCAATAATGTCCCTTCAATTTCCCTGAAATCCCAAATAATTTCCCTATAATTCCCGCCTGCTCCAACTAATGATTATGGGCGTCAGTCATACTCCGTCTTACATGGTTAGCCGATATTCCTCTTTTACACGTAGAGTGGGTGGGGCTACAGGAAAACCACACCCATGGACCTCAAAGGCCTACGGGAGCCCTGGGGAGACACTGGAGGAGGCACGGGAGGAGGCACGGGAGGAGCACGGGAGGAGGCACGGGCTCGACATTCGAAGCTCTCGCCTGCTCCAGCTGCTGAGGAGGGCCCTCACCAGGGGGCCTCGTCGGGCCCCCTGGAGAGGGCCCTCAGGACCCCGAGGAGAGGGCTCGGAAGAGGTGGAGGAAGAGGAGGAGGAGGAGGAGGAGGAGGAGGAGGTCCCGAATTAACGGGAATTACTGTCCAGGCATTAGAGGGAAAAATTTCCCGGGAGGTCCAGGGAGGTGGGGACCCGGGAGGTGGGGGCCTTCCCGGCAATTCGTTGTGTTTGTTTTAATATGTATAATTATCGGGAAATTATCGGGAAGAGTTCCCGGGAGGTGGGGCCCCGGGCGGTCCCCGGGAGGTCCGTTAATTCTGGACGGTAATCCCCGAACCCTTGGACGGTAATCCCCAGCAATGAAAATCATGTGGGGCGAGCGGTGGGGCAGCTCGGGTTGCTCTCCTGCAGTTGCTCCTCGCCGAGAGCCTTCCAGAGGCGCCGGAGTCGCCCTGGACGGCCGCCCGAGGCCCGAGGCCCGAGGAGGATCCAGACCCCGCCCCCCTCGGGCGCCAGGCTGACGAGTCCCTCGAGACCGAACTTGACAGGTTTATCGACGATATCTCTCTTCCTCCTCCTCCTCCTCCTCCTCCTCCTCCTCCTCTCCTCCTCCTCCTCCTCCTCCACCTCCTGCCGCTATCCTCCTTCCTCCGTCTCCTCCTCCTCCTCCTCCTCCTCCTCAATGCGAACGCACCCACTGGGGCCTTGGAGTCGAAAAGTAGCAAATAAAGGGAATACAAGACAATTAACGGGAATGCAAGACAATTAACGGGAATACATGACAAGACAATTAACGGGAAGACAAGACAATCAACGGGAAAACAAGACAATCAAAAAGCATACAAAACAATTAACGGGAAGAATTAACGGGAAGGGAAGAATTAAGGCGAAGGGAATTAAAGGGAAATGAAATCAGCTCAAACCCCGATCCCCCCCCTAGAAACACAAAGGGCGCGCTCAATTTGCAGGAGCTTCACGGATTCCCATGGTCAGCGTACGATGAAGTTTGTTTTGGAATGGTTCATGGGTATGAGGGCGCAACAGGTGCGATGATTCGCAGCGTTGGAGTCCCATGAAAGGCATTCTGACACGATTCAGGATCGTCAAGACGCAACAGCCAGGTTGACTCATGGCGTTGGGGTCCAGAGGATGGTGTATTGGCACGCTTCAGGATGTTCACACGGTTGTCTCCCAACAGGGCAGTTCGATCAGTGGAAATGAACCCTTGTAGAGGCCTATGGAGAGAGAGCTTGGAAGGAGGGTGTATTCCAACATCGTTGATGAGTCTTGGGTTTACACTGGTATTCCTTCTCCTCCTCCTCCTCCTCCTCCTCCTCCTCCTCCTCCTCCTCCTCCTCCTCCTCCTCCTCCTCCTCCTGCTCGTCTGTCTCCGTGATGCTGCCCCCCCAACCAAGTGCCCGCGTTCGGAGGAGGCTCGGCACCCAACCTTCGGGCGCGGGCCTCCCTTGATGCTGCCGCACTCGCGCCCAGAACCCAA